CCACTGAGCAGTACTCCAAATTTGATCGTACTAAGGAATAATATAGAGTCCTCAATGTCTTTGGATCATCAAGACCTCTACAAGTTCTTTTTATCAGTCCCAGCTTCTTGTTTGCCCTTGCCACAACCTTATCATTATGAGAATTCCAGCTTAAATGCTTATCGGTGGTTATGCCCAGATCTTTGAATTCTGCAACTTCGTCCAATGTAGTGTTATCCAGAGAGAAGTCAGAGATAAAAGTTTGCTTCTTCTTTGTTATTTTCATGATTTTGCATTTCTTCACATTAAACTTCATAGCATTCTGAATACTCCATTGATTGAGATTATCCAAGTCCTGTTGAAACAGATTTAGATCTTCAACAGAGTCAATAATCCTTGAGGTCTTACAGTCATCAGCATAAAGTGCAATGATATTACCAGGCAGAACAGCTTTGGGTAGATCGCTTATGAAGATAATGAAAAATAGTGACCCAACAAGGATCCTTGAGGAACACCAGATGTAACCTCACACCAAGACGATGAAACCCCATCTAGTACCACTCTTTGTCTTCTGTGCGTCAAATAACTTTCACACCATCGAAGAAGGGATCCAGAGATTCCAAAACTGCAGAGCTTCTGTTAGAGAACTGAATGACTCACTTTGTCAAAGGCCTTGGAAAAGTCCAAAAAGGCCACATCAACTTGACGTCCCTCATCCAAAGCCCTGGCCCACTGATGATGGGTCAAAACTAACTGTGTCTCGCAAGATCTTCTTTTGACAAACCCATGTTGCCATTCAGATAAGAAAGGTGAAACATGATCATAAATAACAGAATGTATCAGTCTCTCCAAACACTTTGCAGAAATAGGTAGCAGAGAAATAGATCTATAATTCTCTACAAGTTCCCTTTCATCACMTTTATGTATCGGAGTGATATTCGCAGACTTCCATAAAGTRGGCATGACCCCAGAGCTTAAGGATAAGTTAAACAAAAGAGCCAGTGGTACAGATAGTTCAGTTGCACAGGATCGAAGGATTCGGGCAGGCATGTTATCCGCTCCTGAAGCTTTGTTGATATTAATGTTACTTAAAATTCCTTCCACCTCTTGTGCTGTAGTATAACAGTCAGAAAATAAATTAGGATTTATTACATCAGGATAAGTCCGATTAATAGCTGAAGAAGATGATGAATAAATTGATTGAAAAAAGTTATTGAACAGCTCCACCTTAGATGTCATATCTCTAAAATGTACATTATCGTAAATTACAGTTTCGGGGATCCTCTTAGTTTTGGATTTCATGGAGTAGAAGGAGCAGCAGTTAGGGGGAACCGAGGTCACCCCCCGGAATTACATGGGTATTACCCGCCCTCACGTACGTGCGTCGGCCGCGGGTATTACCCGTAAGGTCCCTATGTGTAATGCCTGCGTAATTCGATTTGAAAAGCTCTCTACGGGTTTTATTGGTGCCCCGCATTACTGAGTTAAAATATTTGTTCTATATACGATGCACGAATGTAAAGAGTATGCTTATGACTTTTGTGTAAAGTGCTTGAAACCCAAGTTTGTACCTAGTAAGCCAAATAAGTATATTTGTTGTGGCAAAAAAATGCAAATAGAAGATGACACGTCAGCACAGTGTTACGAGTGTGGTAAGAACATTCGCAATGCCGTACCTTGTGATACCAGGGAACAATATTACTCTAACGGAGGTCGTAAGAAGACCCCATACAAGAGAATAAAATATTTTAGGGACTGGATGAGTCACATCCAAGGTCTTCGGCCGGTATATTTAGACAACGAAGTAA